TTGCTCTGGAGACGAGAGCACCGTTTTCACCCCCCTTCCTCCATTCCAGTCCATCACAATGGATGAGAGGTTGAGATTGTTGGACTGATCATTTTCTGATAATGTCAAGAGTATGTTTTGGAAAAAAATGGACTTGGGAAAAAAGGGGAAAAATGAAAGAAACTAGAGGGAAAGTAGAATAAGTCTTACATGGAAAAAAGTATAAGAAGAATCTCCTAAGAAAATGAATGGAAAGTGGATGTAAGAAAATAGAAAACAGAGTAAGGAATAAGACAATAGAATGAGGAAGAGAGTGAAAGAATTAGATTATGAACTGCTATAGAAATGTGTAGAGTTATGCTAATGAGAAGTATGAAGAAAAATGCTTGGTGTAATGATGAAGTGAAAGACGCTATGGATAAGAAAAAAATGAGAATGTTCAAAATGAAACATTTTGCACAGCCCTACTAGGTTTCTTGGTTTTCTGATACATACATACGTACGTACATACATACATATAAAATAATAACAACTTGTAGCACTATCATTCTGTTCTTACCGGAAACTCACACAATTGTTAATGTTTGCAATTATTATCGCTTCAAAATATTGGTTGTGTTTATTTTCTTTAATGAACATCTCCAGTTCTTTCCTGTAGCTAGAGAGATCATAAAAGTGAGAAATAACCATTAGTAAGTTTGCACTGGAATCCAAGCATGCCATGATATGAAATGTACTCTCCCAACCATTTGCTATCTTACCTTTGCAGAAAGGTCAAGAGTTTTGTCAAAAGCAAGACTGACATTTGGTTGCCCAGCTCTGGAGTGATGTCCTCAGCACGCTTTTGTGCTCCATAGATAGTCTAAAACATCCATCAAAGAATCAGCACTATTAACTTTTAATATATAACTCTCCCATTCTACAAGCATGATCATTAACATTCCCTCTAACAGGAAACTCAGAGGATTTACTAGTAAGTGAAATGAGATAATCCCAAAGAACAGAGAGAAATGAATACTATTTGGGAATTAAATGAAAAAAAAAATTCCAGAAACAAATGGACTAGGACTTCTGTTTCTAACCTTCAAGCATTATTTTTTGTCCATGCTCTTCAACCTACTCTTCCACAACCCAATTCCAGTCTGATCAGTACCACAAGATTCCTTTTCCAGGCTGACTGAAACCCAGAACCAGGAAATTCCTAAGGATGTTAAAGTGACAATGCATTTTTTGGTGACAGCTTCCACATTTCTATTCCAGAATGACAAGATTCCCTAGTCATGTAATCAAATTCTTCCTGCTTACATTACAAGCTGAACACTGTGGCTCCACTCCAGTAGTCAGGAATGTTGAGGGCGTGTTTCAACACACTTTTAAATGAAAATCAGAGTAACCTTAATGGTTGTCTTGTTGGAAAATTTTGAAACCAGAATTTAATTTTTGGAATTTGCACTGGTTTGCTTCACTGTTGTAATGCACATTGTTTAATGTTAATATTTAAAGCAGATTTTGGAGCTGAAACTTTGTCTCTTTAAAACTGCAAAGTTAAAGGCTGCCATAGGATGTGGTTTGTTCCTCTGCCAGCTGATGCAAAATGGGAAAATCACAACTGGCTGAAGGTCTACAGAATCTGTAAATGGAGGTAATGCAGGAAGCAGATGGTGAAGACCACAGCTTAGGAGAACAAAGCTTGCAGTGCTGTTGGAACATTTCCTGGTTGCCTGGAGTGGACACATAAGCTGAGCAAGCCTGAGGGAGGGCTGCAAGATCACCATTCTGTGAGAAAAGAAGGTAAAAAGCAGCCAAAGTAAAGAGCCTATCAAAAAGTCTAAACCAGAAAGAATGGGATTGGCAAGCTAGACATGAGAGGAGAAAAAGAAGAGTATTATGAGCAAGACTCCAGGTGGCATTCCATCACTGCTGGGCAACAGATGCACGTGCCCACCCTCTGATCTCAGCCCAGCTTCTCTACCTTCTGCATCTGCATTTACAACTCATCTCATTGGGATTCTAGTTAGTATGGGCCCCTTAACTGGAACCTACATCTCAGTAATTTGTTTGAACTCTTGATAAAGGAAAAACTCTATAAATAAAAAAATATCATCTATTTCTTGTCAGTAACCTTTCATTATATCATTATATTTTCATTATAAAAGTTGCTTGCTTTTCCCTGATAAAACAGACCAATTGATTTTAGTCTTCTATCTTTAATTATCATTCTGACATAAAATAGGGAAGTTGTGGAAGGGGACTGCCCAGTGTCTGTAGGTCTATGTGGTGGTGTTTTTTGGGGGGGGGGGCACTGTATGTGTGTGTCAGAAGAACAGGGTCCAAATCATAGACAAAATTGGATTTAAAGTGCAAACCCATGGATAACTGAACATCATAATTTGGGATCTGTTCTAATGACAAATTATATTTGCGCAGCTCTCGATAATAAAACAACCTAAGGGTTTATTAGGAAGTCCAAAGATTTGAAATGAAAAGGTTGAGTATAGGAGCACTGGAAATGTACCACTGACCTTAACAGTGATTAGAAAGTTATACAGCAGGCTATCCATCATTTCCAAAGCCCTGCTGACTTGCTGCAGTCAGGGTAGGAAGCATAAGTAGTTTTGCTTTACATTTTTTGTTCTAGCACGTATTTCCTTTTTAATTCACCCACTGAGACTAGTGGCAAATTACTCTGCCAGCCTCAACTGTCACAGTGTGCCAGAACTGGGGATGGGCTGATGGGAAAAAAAAAAAGTCCCAGTGGAACAAAGACTGTCCTGAATGCCCAGACCACTTCCACTACCAGGGTGGATTTATAATCATAGATCATTCCATAGATATGCTGCGGTTCTCTGGAGAAAATTTTCAGGAGCTGATTGTATAATATTTACACAAACATAAAATACATGTTATTACCTGAATGGCATCTATTGATAATTCACTATGAAAATAACCATCCAATTTCTCTGGTTCTGTCCCTTGCATCCATCTCTTGACTTCCATTTCCAAACACTTGACCAGCCAACGTTCAACAGAATCCTTTATAAGATAAAAATACCAAAATATAGATTAGCAGCTGTCTCTTTAGAAAAGCACGTATATTTAAGTCTAATGTGTTGTTAAAATGACTGAACAGCAGCTCTATTGCATGCCAAACACTGAACTACAATTCTTCCACTAAGTGCGAAAGGGTATATGAACAAGGCTTTTGAATGCTGGGCTTCAGTTTAATAGGCCATTGCCCTCCCAGGTGAGCTAAATAGGTGCTATGGAATGAAAGCTGAGAAAGAACCAAAACTGTCCACCTCCAGCAAAGTGTATTCTGGAAAGTCCCACTTACATCACTGGTCCCTTTTTGACTCTCTGGCAACAGTAGCATCCAAAAATATTTAGGAACACATATTACATTCTCTGCAATAACCCTTGGCTTCTTGATGTGATCCTGCTGGGAACAGGTAAGTGGAAGCAGCACAGACATCAGCACCAGGGAGCCCTTGCCCAATTCTGGGCCCTAGCATCTATATTGGGATACCAGATGCTGACATTGGCCCTGCAAGGAGCAGAAACATCTTTGCATCTACATTCCAAATTGTAAACTGCCCAAGAACAATGAGAAAAGAATGACTTACAATTGTATCGAAGCACAAATTACATGGTTAAGATGGAGTTCCTCCCTTTCCCATTATATTACCAATGCAGTAGTATTACGGCCGCAGGACATTTGGGTTGAGTTACCACATTATGCTAAGCTAAAGCCTGTTTTAACAATGGTTTATTGAATAAGCCACAGTAGCCTAGTTTCAAGTGTAATATTAAACTGGAAACCAGCTTACAAACCACAGTGGTCGCGTTCACATATCACATTAAACCAAAGCTAAAGAAGCCAGAGTATGGCTTCAGTACATGGGCATCTGTAGGGAGATAAAAAAAAATGTGGTGGGTGTGAACACAGAATCAAAACCTTGCCCCTAAGTCTTAGAAAAGGGCAGGGCTTTGATCGTGAGGTTGTACCTGCTGTCTTGATTTTTTTGACCCCCATATGGGTGTGATGTGAGAACTCAACCACTGTGAAAAGTGGAAAGCTGTATCTACAACTGAAGAACAAGCGTGATACATTTTATAAATTCTTACATGAACATAACCAATCTGCAAAACTATGGAGTAAAGAACATGTAGGTCTCTTACCACTTCATCCGTCAAATAAGTCAATTCAAGCTGTTTGATCTCTCTCAGTGGCAACAAGCTTCCAAGACTAGCTTCATCCAACTCTTTGACTAAAGCACTGTGATTTTTTATTTCCCTGAAATAGCCAAAAAGTATCTCAAAAGCTGGAAACGTATGCTTTCCTGATTTTTTAAATCTGATTTCCCAAAAATTCTCAATAGAAAGCAGATGTGAAAGTAGGCTAACTGCCACAGAAGGCTTGGATTCCAGTGTGAAAACCACCCATATTATATGACCAACATTCCACATCTGACTTGCTCTCAGGCTTCAAGAAATAATTGATACTAGCAACCTTTATAGTGAGAATTCAAGCTGCTGAAACAGGGTGGGAAAGGCATTTAAAACAAACTTTTTAAAAGAAGGCGAGATGAACCCACCTTGCAACAGGCAAGAAATCTGAGAAAAACACTAGAGTTGAATTAGTGGGGAACACTGAGGTCAATTGTTCAAAGTTGATTGAAAAGAAATACTGCTTGGAATATCCATATCCTGCCCTTGTTCTATTTCCTTAAACAGTAATTGAGAGTAACTTACATTTAGATTTTTTTCAAGCTTGCCTTGCATTTATGCTACAGCCAAACTCCTTAATAATCCCCACTAGAGTCTAAATAGACATAACAATGTTCTCCACTATTGAACAGATTCAAATACATAACAGCCTAAGAGGTAACAATGAAAGAGGCATTTCTGATCAGCATAGGGCTGCTTCACCAGCTTAAACTATTTGTTTATCTATCTCAGCATTATCTTCTAGGGATGGAAGAATTTGTTGACTTCAATTTCTGTAATATTCATATTTTTTCAATCACAAGCCTATTTCAGCTTGCTTTTGTATCCGTGTGTACATATTTTTTTAAAATCTGCATGAAAAATGGTGTGTTTTCAAAAGAGCATGTTTTCAAATTTCCCTGCTAATGTGCATTTTGGCAAACAATTTCCCCTAAGGCCTATTTTTAATACATTCCGATGAAATTTTCTGTTTGTGCTTGCATTTTTGTATGCATTTTTAATAGAAGAACTGGATAAAAAGTCTCAGAGCTAAAGGCCAATTGCTTTCCAAATCAAGAATTCAATAAATGCTGCATAAGTTACTGATATGCTTCCGGGTATGATTCATGATGCTGGTTATGACCTATGAAGCCCTATATAGCATAGGGCCTGGTTACTTGAGTGACTGCATATCTTCCATGATATCACATTAGCCAATTTGATCCAACAAGAGTTGGTATGCTCCAGGTCCCTTCAATTAAACAATATCATGTATCAGGACTCCAGAAGTCTGTCTTCTCTATTGTGGCGCCTGCCCTATGGAATGAGATTCCTTCTGATATCTGTGTGATCCTCATCCTGCTGGCATTCTGGAAAGCCTTAAAGACCTAACTGTTCTCCTAGGCTTAGGGTTAGGTTGGTTAGGGCCCCCACTAGATGATGTGTGATTGTGGTTAATTATATCCACTATCAGTTTTTATTGTTTAGTTGTTTATTTTTTATAATTATTGTATTCTATTCTCATGCTTTATTGTTCACCAGTTTTATTATATACTGCCCAGAGTTGGTTGGTGTCTAAATTGGCAAGGCTTGCAGCAGAACCCAGATATAGTATAAATTGACTACATACTTTGGATATAAATTCTGCACCCAGGTGAGGAGAAGGTAAATGTCTTGATTGTTCAATTCAAACTGAGCAAACATCTCCATCTGAGAAGAGAAGCAATGGTGGTAGAACTTGGCGTAAGTGTTGCACACCTGAAAATGCTCAGGATAATGATGTTTAATATGCTGCACCACCGTGATCATGTCCTCCTTCATAGTCTTCCCCATATGCAAGAAACTGTTAGCAGTGGTAGAGAGGCCCTTGTTATCAACCAAAGGAGGCCCTTTCATTCGTTCTTCTACAGATTTCTGGATAGTGTTCCTCCATTCCTCTTTCCACTTTCTGGGTTGGGAATACAGAGATCTCTCCTCCTCCACCACCTGGTTAATTACTGTTCTCACTGCATTATTCAGTAATTCTGGCTGTGCTGATGCTATGCTGATAGATGAATGTATGATGCTGAGGACCGCTTGCTTTAAAACTTCAAATAAAGCTTCAATTTCAGTCTGATTGCCTAGTGTTTCTTCTTCGCTTCTGCTATCCAGATTGCTGTTGGATTCTGTTTGCATGATAAGAAGATGTTGACTGGCTTCATAAAAATTTTGGTCCTTAATCAGCTTTCTGATTTGGTCAGCTGAAAAAACAAAGTAGGAATTCTTTGGTAGTCAATAGCATGTGATTAACAGGTTACTAATTCATTCAAATTATATTCCCCCAACTTCAACTCAAGTGTACTCAGAGCAGTTCATGGTTTAAAAATGTATGCGTGTGTTGCTTTTTTCAAGGAGACAACAGATTTAGATTGGTCTCTGTAGCTACCCTAAATTTGTTCTCCGTGACTTCAATGACTACCACCTTAAAAAGGAGGAAAAAGACCTGTTGAGCATACTGTGTTGGGATGAGTCTCTGTCCTTCACAGCTGAGAGGGTGAGAGATCATCCCCAACATATTAACCCTTAGAAAACAATGAAAAAGCTCTCTGAAGCACTGTGTAGTTTCTTGAAGATCTACTGCCCTTCTAGAATGATTTGGAAGGCAGTCTGGTATCGTAGAACTTATATTATTTCATCCATGGAAGAAGTGTGGGAGCTCACCTTGATTATGGGAACTCAGCTAAGAAAAAGAAATCCCAGTGTTTTTTGACCTTAATGAGCCTTTACCATATTTTTGGACTTATGGTGCTCAAGGATGCAAACTCTCTCCAAGTAAAAAATGAAATAAGCAGATATAAAGCTGTGGTCTAGGATCTTTATATCTTGCTAATTCTTTATTTCCCATCTGTAGTCTAAACATTTCTGCTACCTTATTTTATTAAACTGATCAATCCAGCTTGAAAATAAGTTCAATGGACCATTCAGGGGAGGGAGTATCTGTTATTCTGGATGTCCACTAAATCTAAAAATGTGTCATTTGTGGTAATTTATATAATTTGCATTATGCCATTATTACACAAATGATGCAAATAACTCCTGGACGAAAGGCACGTTAGAAATCTAATAAATAAATTTCATTTTAATCAATTAAGATCATTTGCAGAATTACATCAATATGTAATTTACATACATTTAACTGCTTTTGTCTGGACTTTCTTGGGTACAACAGAATTGTCTTATTTGGGGGTGATACCTGGATCAAAATTTTGTTCATGGCAATGTTCACTGCGATGCAAGTCTGTTAAATTGTGGTTTAACTGTGTCTCAGTAGGGTAGAAAGTTTTGTTTCTGATACCCCAAAATCCATTTTGGCCTTTAACAGTAGTCAAAATGAATCAGGAGCTCACTGTCAGAAGAATAATGTTCTTCTTCGAAGTGTCAATGAGTAGCATTTGCCCTGTGCCATTCCTCAGAAATGTTAAGTGATGTGTACATCAGTAGAGTTTTATAGTAAATCTGTGATGCAGCATGTGCAGAGAGGTAATTACTAGTCCAAGATCACCTGCCTGAATAAAGGGTTTCAATTCCAAATCTTACCCAGTGGCAGCCATTCCAGCAGGATGATCTCTCACCCTCTCAGCTGTGAAGGACAGAGACTTATTTATTCAACCTATATGCTGAATATACATTGAAGGAAGCTGGATTGGAAGAAGATGAGTTTGGTTTTTAAATTGGAGGAAGAAACATCAATAATCTGCAGTATGCTGACGTCTACTCTGATAGTTGAAAATACAAATGATCTGCAAGCTCTAGTAATAAAGATCAAGGAGCATAGTGAAAAAATGGGACTAAAATTAAACATAAAGAAGACCAAACCAATGACAAGAGGTATAACTACCAGAACTGATAATGAGGATATTGAAGCAATAGCTGATCCTGTAAGGCAGAATCTAGCTATCAATAGTAAAGGAACAAGCAGTCAAGAAATATGCTGCAGACGAGCACTTGGAAGAGCAGCCATGATGGCCCTGGAAAAGATTTTCAGATGCCATGATATGTCCATACCTGTAAAGATCAGAATAACGCAAGCAATGGTATTCTGTGACTCTCTATGGAAGCAAAAGCTGGACTTTCAAGAAGCAGGATAGAAAGAGTATTGATGCTTTTGAACTTGGTGTTGGAGGAGACTCCTGAGAATTCCATTGACAGCCAAGAAAACAAATAAATGGGTCATTGAACAAATCAACTCAGAGTCCTCACTCCAGGCACAAATGACCAGGCTCAAACTATCCTACTTCGGATACGTTATATAAAGACCTAGCTCTCTAGAGAATGCTCTAATGCTGGGAAGGTTGGAAGGAAGGAAAGAGAAGAAGAGCACTAGCGGCAGCAAGGTGGATGGACTGAGTTACAGTGGCAATGAATGCACTGGACATGAAGGACCAGGTTAGGGACAGATCATCATGGAGGAAATCTATGTAGCTGCTAAGAGTTGACACCAACTTGATGGCACATAGTCAAAAGCAGATTTAGTAACAGCATCAGGCAAATATCTTTGGCAAGGGAATTCCAAAAGCAGGTCCTATCACAAAGACCCTCTAGCTAGCAGCCATCCAGTAACTCTGTGGTTGGAGAATTGTGGATGAATCTCTCTCAAAAAAAGATCTAGCAACTATTCAGATTAGTCTTGAAGAATATCACACCCTGCCTTCCTCTTTCCATCTCCAACCCTATAATTTTTTGAAATATGTATGCTGTGAAGAATTTATTTAATACATTTACTGTATATGGCTGCCCACATACATATGACTCTGGGCAGCTAACAATAACAAAATAAAAACAACCCAAATTAAAAAAAACAAACAAACCAACACAAACACCATAAAATAGTAGCCAAGAACACTCAGAACATCCCACACTCAAATTAACCATGAAATGGGCTCGCTCATATTATTTGGGTCCCAGGCTAGATGGTAAAGCCAGGTTTTTAATGCGAAAGGGCGGGGGGGGGGCAGAATGATATTCCAGAGGGGACGATATCCCAGAGGGCACATGCCAATTTGAACTCTTCCTGCTTTTAATTGATCCCAATGGAAGAATTACTTTACTTTAATATTGGTAGATACTAAAAACATATTTCTAAAAGTTAATAGCAGTTTGACAATGGGACAATTAATTAAAAGAATGGGACTTCTCTTTTACAGATCTTTAAGCAATGGCAAGCAAATAATTTTTTAGGGATGAAATAGGTCGACATATCCTGCATTAAGCATGGGATTGGACCTGATAGTCTACATGACCGTCCAACTCTATACAAAACTTACCAACTATTTCATATGTCATTGTCTTGCATGAAGACAGGTGTAATTTTTAAAAAACAAGACTGAAATTTTCAAGATGGCTAAATCTTGTGAAATTACAGCCAACTCACACTTGAAATTTCATGATTTCACCATTCAATTTTTTTAAAATTTTCATTTCTATATTCTGTGGATGCCACTTAGAATATTTTGAGTGTTTGATGCCTAGAGACACTGCATTGCCAAGTCCTCTTGTAAATCTACATAGTGGACAATAACATATAGAAAGAGGCTGTCCTTCCATATGGTCATTCTGTACCTGTAACCAGTTGACAGTTTTCCTTCTGAGGTTTCTTTTCTTTGCTTTTCCCACCTCTGTCAAATAAATAAACAATTTTTTTCCTTAGTCCTTTTTTATGCTTTTCTTTAACATGGTCTGTTCCAGTGACTTCCAAAGGTGATTGAGGAAAATATTCAAGGGAGGGAGTCAGCCTGTGGTTTTCAGTTTTCATGTTGTCTTTAGGATGGGCTTCTTCAGAGGATAATTCAATTGACACTGAATCAGGTTCTGATTCAGATGATGTCGAAGGCTTGGCTGCCTTCTTGCTTTCAATATCTTTAGCAGGTTTTGGAGGACTGCTATAGAAAAAGGGCATTGATTTTAGCATCTTCTTCTCTGACCCTGCAAATTATATTAAGAAATTATGAGACTCCATAATTTTCATTCAGTAAGTAAAGACAGGTAATACTACAGGCAAAATAGAGATAAAATATTCTCAACATACTATGACAATGTATCCCCATTAGTTGAGAAAGCAAGAATATTCTGAGGCTCAAATAATAACGCTTAACGGTATAATAGAGTCTTTGGATTCTACTGTATATAACTGAGAAAGATAAAATACTATAACTTTATAGAGTACAGTGGTACCTCGAGTTACAAATTTAATCCGTTCCGTGACTCTGGTTGCAACTCGAATTG